TAATATTGTATTAATACATTCGCGACTGACATATTTTTTCCTTTTTCAATACTGAGTACCGGCAAAAATAATGAATTATTTAAATCTAATGCAAATAATAAAATATAATTATTTAATAAAATATTATTATTTAAATTATATACTGAAATAATTAATTATAAATTTAATATATAAAATTTATATTTATATATATTATTTATATATAAATAATATTATATTATATATAATATAAATTGATATTATATATTTTATATATATATATATATATAAATTTATTTTTATAAAACTCTTAATATTTAAAATGACGTGAATCAGAAGCAATTAAGAATAAAACTTGAAAAAACGTGAATTCACGTCAGCGATCGCGAATGTGTTAAAATATTACCCAACTATATACTATTTCGAGATATATTAAATCTTTCATTATCAAGTTCTATGATGAGCATTCTAATCCGAGATATATAATCGTGATTTTCATTGTACCTTTTGAAAAATCGAAGATTTTCAAGACTTTCTTCTTCTATAACTAAAGATTCCGGATAAGAGGAAAAAAAAGCGATGGAAGAAACGTGGATCTAGTAAAAGAACTATCTCTCTCTCTCTCTTTCTCTTTCTCTTTCCCTTTCTCTTTTTCTTTCTATCTCTATCTTTCTATGCGGAATGACGAAGTAATCTTCTAGAATCACAGAACATTAAAAGCGCCACTGATCTGCCTCCATTTCTTCCGATTCCCAAGACTAACATTCGTTCGATCTACACAGAGCTTCTACCCGATGTAATTTTCTTTCAATGACGTTCGCTACTTCTTTCTTTTTTTTTCTTCTTCTTCTTCTTCTTCTTCTTCTTCTTCTTCTTCTTCCTTTTCTTTCTATTCTTTGATAAAGAGAAAGAGAAAAAGGAAAGAAAAGATTTCCCGTTGATTGGGATTCGTTCAACATTATTATTCTTCCGTTATCAAGTTTGATATAACGAATCACCGATTTATTTCTGATCGTTCGGATGAAATATTCCCTTTTTTCTTAATTTTCCTCTTTCTCTTACTCTCTTTCTCTCTCTCTCTCTCTCTCTCTCTCTCTCTCTCTCTCTCTCTCTCTCTCTCTCATAAAATAACTCCGTCGATTATAAATATTGTTCGTGGGGTTGGTATCAATCCTCTCTTTTCTTTTCGTTCATGACCGATCGTCGAACTTTTTCTCGATTTGCATCATACCGAAAGAGAAAGAGAGAGAAAAAAAAAAGGAGTAGGAGGACGCGTTATTTAAACGCTTGGCTCTCTCTCTCTCTCTCTCTATATATATATATACGATAGTAGGACACCGGAATACATTAATATTGGATGAGGGAATCTCGAAATGAGCTCGTATCGAGAGTCGATACGGTCGTTATCAAAAACTCGTTACCAATATTTTATCCTTGATATTACTTTAGTAAGCTACGGAGACACGTGTGTTCTACTCCTCCTCCTGTTCCTCCTCCTCATCCTTCTCTTTTAAACCAGCTACTACTCCACCACCCCCTCCCAATTTCCAACGTTCACCCCCCCCTCCAACTCCTTTGAATTTTCTTATTTCGATCAACATTGATGTTATACCATTATCGATTATTAAATGTCTTCATTTTTTTGTTATTTTTTTGTTTTGTTTAATGGTGTTTGTTCATCTTAAAGTATTTAAAATAACATTTTAAGTTTCATATACTACTGTATATTTCGTGGAAAGAAACTTTTATATTAGTATAATATAAATAGTCTTTAAAATTTTTAAATTATTATATATATATATATATTTGCTATTTATATTTATATAATTATTATATAATATTTATATAATAAATAATATTTTTATTATTATAATTATTATATAATATTATAATTTATTTTATTATTATTAATTAAAATTATCTTATTATTATTAATTATTTCATTATTTCATTATTTTTGTCTTTATTCATTATTTTTTTTATAATAAAAAAATTGTTAAATTAATTATTCTTTTATTGAAATATCTCTATCATATGAAATATTTCGTGGTTTTTATAGAAATTTTTTAATAATCAATTTTTTAACGTTTTATTTCAATGACAATATTATTGAATATCGGATCAAACTTTATAAAGTTTTATTACTACAATTAATATTAAGGATCAATCGAGAGCTTTCTCATCAACGAAAAATCCTTTGTGACAAAGCTTATTTTATCAAATATTTTAATTACTGCTACACAATAAGCAAAGCTGGTATTAAGTAATGACATTGATGAAAATAGATAATAAATTGATTATTTTTTAATAATAAGTCAATTCTTTGATCGATTCATTTTATATAAAATACACCTGATAGATTGTAATTTACGTCTATTAAATATGCATAATTTATATATATATATATTTTTTTTTCAATATTCAATTTATAATTTCATTTAGTTTATAACTAAAACATAAAGTTTGTTATCCAGTATGATAAAAAATTATATTACCTACGAACTACCTAATAAAATATACCTACATACCCTCTTTTTTTCTTGTATCCACAATGAAACTCAAATATTGGGGAGACCCAATATTGTTGACCAAGATATTTTACAGATATATCAAACAACCCTTGGAATATAGTTTGATTTCATTTAATAATTTCTAATTTATTTCTTATTTATTATCCCGATGATTTTAGTAATAAAAAAGATAATATATTAAAGTTAGATTTCTTGTATGTATTTTTCATGAAATAATTAATTCAAACGAAACTAGCAGAAATGAGATATAAAAAGTGAAATAAGCGTATCAACTTGTTCCCAGGGTCTCCCAAATGTATTAAGTTAATGAAATTTTCGTTACAAACTTTTGTGCAAATGTTCAAGTTCGTAATTTGCATATTAACTCTTTATGAGGTCATAAGAAATAAAAAAAAAAAAGATAAAGAGAAAAAGAAAAACTATACATGAAGGGTTCGTTTCACAAGTTATCGCAATATCGATCATTCCAACGAGCAACCGCAAACAGTTTCGTCTAACTGCACAGGTACTACTATTACTAATACTATTACTAATACTATTACTGCTACTATTACTACTACTACTTGCAGTTACTGCTCGTCATTGTAACGAGTGTGTTCTACTTATCTCTCTGTCTCTTTCTCTTTTTCTCATTGTTACTTTGCTTCCTCAAGATCGTAAGAAGGTAGAGAAAGTTTTCTCGTAAATCGTCCCTTGATGCAGTACCGGCACGAAGCCGATTTATTTGACGTTCCCTTTACTCCTTTCACCACTAATGATCCTAAAATGGCGATCACGCAACCATTTTGTAACTCGCTTCAGAGAAATCATTAAAACGACCTTTGTAACTACGTTAAATTATCAGTTTAATAATCAAATATCTTTGTATAGATAATATAATACAATATATGTCAACTTGATTAAACTCATAGCTAATTACAAATTTTATAATGATAAGATTACAAAATTATACTATTTTATCAAATACTTTTTGAATAATACAAATTGAAATAGTCCAATTAATAATGTTAGAATATTGCAATGTAATAAACTTTTTATTATATTCAAATATTAATATAATATTTGGGATACTGAAAAGTAATCAAAATTTCTTCGATGAGTACATTCACATTTAGTTCGTGTCAATGAAAAATCGAAGAACTTTTTAAAAAAGGAATGGAACAATTTTCTTTACATAAGGTAAAAAGTGTTAGCAAATGATGAAAACATTTTTTGTTGATTACCATTTAAAATTTCTTTAATAAATAAATGTTTTTCTCCAGCAGAGAAGAATTTTGGTTACTTTTCGATTGATTAATTATTTTTTTTTTACTGTCAATTTATTAATATACTAATATAGAATAATAATAATAATTAGATTTGTAGTATTATATATATATAGGGAAATCAATTGTTCTGTATCCGGCTAAGGATATCTAATTCCCCCGTGTTGCCGACACTACTTGAGATATAAAAGATACTCTTTATTCTCAC